ATTTGAGTAGGTTGGTCTAATATTTCCAGTTTTGCAATCTCTCTCTTATTTCAATGTCAAATGGCTCCTTTTTTCAAGGTTGTGTGTATTCACTTCAACCAATTGCTTCTCTGAAGCTTCTAATTTGTGGTCTTCTGTATGCAGGCTCCTATCTATGTAAGTAAACAGATTTTCTTGAAGATGCTATTAGAATTGCTATGGGATGGCAGAGTGCGTGATAGAAAGTCTACTTATGATTTTGCTCGACAGGTTCGTTGTATATGCCTGCCTTTGGAGTTTTCTCAAAAATAGGTTGTTTCCTGTTAACGCAGGGTTTTATGCTTCCAGTGCTGCAGATGGCCCGGATTTGCTAACGGAGGAGTTGAATCTGGTGAGAAATATAGATTTAGCTGCGATGAAGAAAGGTACAATGATGCAGGTAATAAACATAGAATATAATCTCGTAACCAAGATAAAATTTCAGAATCTACGAAATGATTACCAACTCACAATGCTATTTCTTTCCTTTGTTATCAAACATTGAAGATCTTAGTGTTTACACTATAAAACGAATTTTGTGCAGCATTGTTAAGAGACACAAACTAATGAAGCTACGCCACTCAAGTGATGATCAGTGACATGTTTTGGTAGCGGTAATTCGATTCGGAGTTTCATCGGTGCTCAGTACTCAGCTATTATAGTTTACAGGGCACAGGAACTTGTTATGCTAAAGTAGTCAGCAGAGAGAACCATTAACCTGTTACCTAGAATTTCAGTGCTAGATAAGCATGATGAAATTCCTGGATGGATGCGTAATATGTATGTATTTCTGGATTCATTGTATAATACGGAAAACCTTGATTCACATATATTTGGGTTCTTCTCTTGCACACGCACACACACACACACATATATATATATAATAAAATATCATTGACATCTCGAGATAAAGGAGAGATATAAAATTCATTCCATCCCTACTTTCAGACATAGTCGATCGATGACACTCTATCTAAATGAGGAGGAAATTACAAATGGTCAACAATTTTTTTTCCCAACCCTTTAATCACCATAAACCAACATCACTTGCTGTACATCAAGCATGAACAAAAATACACAAAATCAGATAGAACAACAGTTGCTATTTCTACAAACAGTGTGGCTGAGTGAGTGCCTAAGTAATTTTGGTGAGAGCGAGACATTCCTTGATTAATGATGGTTGAATTTCTGGTTCGGCAATGCGGAGAGTGTATCACCATCTTCCTTGGGCACACCTTTGAATTCATGCTTGCTTTAAAAACAGAAACATTTCCTTTTTTTTTATAGTGGTATTTGTGATTTATCAGAATACATGGCCAGGTAGCTTATATGACTATCTGCATAAGAAAGGGGTGTTTTTAAGTTGCCGTCTTTACTCAAAGTAGCCCTTGATGTTTCCAAGGGAATGAACTTTGCATCAAAACAAAATCAACCACAGAGACCTGAAAACTGCCAATCTTTGATGGATGAGAATCAAGTAGGCTGTTTTTGTTAATCAAGTCACTGATTAATTATTTTCTATTAGAAGCTATTTGTTTTTATTTTCCTTATGAATTTTTGACTGGGATTATAGTATACTGTAAATTGTATGATTGATTAACTTATGATATTTGTCTTAAATTATTGGCCTGTCCTTACAGGTTGTTAAAGTTGCCGATTTGGAGTTGCTAGAGTGCAGGCTCATTCGGGAGTAATGCAGCTGAAACTGGAACATACCGCTGGATGGCTCCTGAGGTATGCATTTTTTCTTGGACATTATTTTTCTCTTTTGTATTCTTACATCATAATAGTTTAGCTACTCCGATGATCTTGTAATAAACTTAGCTATTTATGTTTCTTCAAGATCATAAAAATACATGTTACGGTGTTCAGACTAATTCTGTGTCGGAACTAAAAAATCATTTTGTATGTGACGCTAACCCATTAATATGATCATCTTCTAAATGATTACACTTTTTATCATTGATTTACCACCTTGCACTGTAGATTTTTTACTTATTAATCGACACAAACATGAATTTCAATTCTAGAAGGAGCTCTAATCTAATATTGCATCAACCTATCTTAACTAATGTAGGTTATTGAGCACAAGCCATGTGATCACAAGGCAGATGTTTTTAGCTTTGGGATAGCACTCTGGGAGCTACTGACAGGAGAAGTAAGACTCGCTATTTTGTGGAATAGTTCTGTTTTTTTATTGTGGATACTTGCCTGTGGCAAACTTTCTTTCTTCTACGAGTATGATACTTTGAGAATTTATCTTTATGACTGATTATTCTTACATTGCACTGCTAGCTCCCATATTCTCTCTCGACTCCACTTCAAGCAGCAGTTGGTGTGGTGCAAATAGTACTTTTCTTTTGTACAAACACAAAAATACGAAATTTTTTGTTTTGTGCTAAGGAGGATATTTTGTTTATAACAATCTAATGGTCTTTTCAGAATCTTCGTCCTACGATCCCAAAGAATACAAACCCAAGACTAGGGGAATTGCTTGAGAGATGCTGGCAGCAGGACCCCACTCAAAGGCCTAACTTCTCTGCAATTGTAGAAATCCTTCAACACATAGATAAAGAGTACAATATTCATATGACATGCTTTTTGTTTTGCCTTATCAAACAATTCTAAAATGGTATACTATTGTGACAGGTTGCAGATAAGGGGGAAGATTGCAACATGAGCAAGTCATCCGTCAGTGTTTTCTCATCTATGTGAGGGGACACCATCAACCCCAATAGTAAGGGGATGCTGTGAACTAAATGTATTGTTGTCTGACTGCATTGTCCGTATTATATCGTTTTATATATAGCATTATGAATGATGAGCTATTCAGTACAGCAGCTTGCATTTAGAGAGATTCAGTTTTCAGCTATCCTAAGTTACAATTGCCCTCTCTTTGGTTCCAACTTTTCTTTCTTCTCTAAGCTGCTATGTGAAGCCCTAATTCTTCACTTCCGTCAATCGTGGATCTTCAAGGTACAGATTCATTATCACATTCCGGATCGTGACTCGATCTCTTGTTTATTGCAATTTTGTGAAAAAGAGTACAGGAATTGTTGTACAGGAAATTTTTGCAATAGAAAATGTTATGACCTATACCTGTAGCAAACGGTGTTTTATGGCTAGTTGAAACTGAAGGTGACACTGCAGGGCAAATCGGCGGTCAGTCACTATACTTGCCGAGGAGTTGCGGGTAGGAACTCTGACTGTACCTGACAATGCATGCATGCAATTCATTGTTAGACGTGCTTGTTTTCTTGCATACGCCCCGAGCCACCGCTTGCAGCTTGACTAGGCTTCTCAAAGAGCTATATGCTCGTCTCGCCTGTTCATTATAATTTTCAATTATCAAAACCAGAACACGAAATGTTAAGTTTAGCCATGTCTTAGATGTTTGAAAAAGAAATGCATGTAGTTACAATGACCCCTGAAGAATGACTGGATTTTAATTGCTGCAATGTCCTCTCTGGTTAAACGTTTGTCTGAAATGACGATCTAGACGAAGCTGAGATGTTGGGGAAGTCTCTAGCTTCTTTGATCGTTGGATGGTGACTTAGTTTCTGCTATGAATAATTGATATGTCTCTTTGGTGGGATCATTTGATAAACTTATTTCGAACTGCGTTGAACCAGTTTCTAGCGGTGCCAATATTTGCAAAGTCGGGTTTTTGTTTCTATGTATCTGATTCGAGGAGGAGGAAGGGGGGGGGGGGGGACTTTAAGGCAAGGAGTTATGCCGTGCAAGCCATATAAGTGCTACTTTTTCTTGCTGAACAATGATCGTCAGACTAAGAACGTGGGAGGATGATTTTATAGGGTAAACTATTTGTATCACTATTTATTTTATTATTTCCTTTTTCATTTGACCACCGATTTTAAAATTTGTTAATCAGATCACTTAATTATTTTAAGTACATCAATTAAGTCATTTATCGTAACACTTAATGAATAGGGTGATCGGGTTGTTAAAAGAATTGATATGATTACATATTTGATCTTCATATCTATATATTCTATCAACTTAATTTTAATTTAATTAAATAAATTTAATCTTCATTTAGTTTGTGACATGTATCAATACCTAATTGGTATATTATTCAATTTTTTTACATATATAATTACAAAAGTATTATTTAATAAATTAATATAATTTAAAATTATATATATTTTTGTTGCCCTCCAGTTTCAAGGTTTCACCTTATTCTAGACCGATTCGGGTTGTACACTGATTTTGGTGGGTGAATTTCTGCATACACAATGATTCAAACCTGACATTGCTTAAGTGATATCAAGTGATTACCACTTGAACCAACCATTTGATTAATTTATAATATTTTTGTAACATTTTTAAAGAAATAATTTTGAAGATAACATTAATAAGAGTATAAATGAGTCCATAAAGTATAATTCTCTACCGTATCCGGTTGTATCACAAGAATAAAAGGCCCAGCGTAATTAGAGTGCCAGGCCCAGTTCAGCGACATTTTCAACAGAGTTGGGTCTACGTGGAAATGGGTACATCGGCCATTTTCACCTCTTCTCTTCCTCCTTCCTTCTAGTTGACTCCCGACAGTCGACTATTGTTAGGGATTATAATTGAGTCCGAAAGTTTTAATTTGATTCGATCTAATAAGTCAGATTTTAAAAAAATTTGGGTTCAAGTTGAGTCGAGTTAGATTTTTTAAGGAGTGTTGTTGGAGGGTGAAACATTTTGACATGAACCAACTTAAGGATAATAATGTAATTTCCTTAAAAATTTATATTTTCTTAATTAAATCCTTATTTTATGCTGGGTTAGGTAGGATAGAATTTACTCAAAAAATTTGAGTTGGATCAAGTTGAGGGGAAAATATATATTTTTCAGATCGGATAATGTCGTATGTACGATATATAATTTTTAGGTCAGATCAAATTTAGATAGAATTCATATTTTCAGATTGGGGAGTTTTCCCTAAATGTTGTCCGTTTCGCAAAATTTAATTGTTTGTATATCAAGTAAACTTCATTTTCTGATTTATCAACTACAAACTTAATCATTTTCAGACGGCGTAATATTAAAATAAATATCGAAATTATATTCTAAATTGATTTTGTATCTAAAGAATTTTTTGTTAAAAATAAGTGTAATATTTTCTCCGTTACACTTTTACGTAATTACCGTGAAAAGACAGTTAAATGACACGTGTCATGTTTATATTTTATTTTTTAAAAGAATAAAATATTGTCTAAAATAGTTTTTTAAAAAAATTTAAACGTGACACGTGTTATTTAACGATTTTTTTAACAATATACCCCTAAAAATATAATTAGAAAAATTAGATACTTATCTTTAATTAAAAGTAATTTACATATAAAATTTAATTTTATGTATATTTAGACATTTATTTTTATATTAAACATTTTATGATTAAGTTCATACTTTTTTCGGGGGAAAGAACTTTATTATTTGAGTTTTTTGGGTGACTGAGGATTATTCATGGTTGTTGACAGAAATGGTTTCTTGAACTGGGTTCGACCTTCTCCTGAACAACAAAAATCTTGCATTAACAAGTAGTAAACCAAATACAAACTAGTTGATTTGTACATTCAAACTAGGCATATTCCTTTGTTTCTTGTGGGGAATTTTCCCTTTTTGATGTTTATGTTATTATTACCAGGTCTGGAACTTCAACCATGACACTAAATACAAAGGAGCTACTGCAAAGCCGGTTTCCTGCATTAAGGAACAAGGAGCTCTCCAAAGATGGTTATTTAATCAACCATGCAAGGGTTTTTTGTTGGTTCTGGTTTTGAGACCTATGAAAAGGGCAAGACTGCTCTGCAGAAACTGGAGGTTTGTTGTTTTTGCATATTGGGTTCCCCCCCCTGTATATGCAGATAACTAGTACTGAGAGGTATATCATGCCATATATTTTTGGTATTGTTTGTAGGCACTTTGGATTAGATCGGGCATTTGTTGATTCCAAGACTCCTATTAAAGTGGGGAGAAGTTCTGTGTTTGTCTCAAGGAATTTCTGCCATGGGTCATGATGCCTCTCCAAGTGGTGTGTAAAGGAGAACATAAGGGCTAAGACTAAGAAGACCGTTGCCTCCTTTGGCTTTGGTAGTGGCACATTACAAGGTCACCTATTGGTTAGTGTTTACTGCTTTTTTCTTCTGAGTTGCGGTTTTTAGTCTCAAAACAAAATATGACTTGGGTTTTGGTTGGGTCAAGTTATTGTTTTCTTTTTGAGTTTGAAATGGCTGATTATCTGCATGAAGTGTTTCCTGTGCTTTTGAAAGTTTGTTGAATACAATCAGATTCTATTGATTGCTTATTGCTGCATACATAGCCTGATTGATGATAACAGGGTTTGGATTTTTTGCTGGAAATCAGGCTGGGAAAGAACGGTTCTCGATCGAGCTGGACGAGAATGATCAAGTGTGGTATAGAGTAATTTCCTTCTCAAAGCCTGCTCGCTTCATATCATTTGTAGGTTACCCTTATGTTCAACTGAGCAAACGTATTTCGCTCATCAATCTGTGAATGCAGTTCTGAAACATATTCAGTGACTGTATATATCGATTCTTATACTTGGTTTGTTTGAAACGAGAAATCGAAACTTTGAGCATAATAGCCTATATTCTTAGGAAAGTCTTTGAATCGGATAGTGTAAATGAGGTTCTGTTTACGGATATCCTTCATTTTGCAAGACGATCATGGCATAGCTCACCTAGGACATCTTTGGATTGTGAAGTTGAAAGTTAATAATATTAATAATTTAATTTAAAAATTAATATCATTTCTTTGAGTTGCTCGCTAGTTTTTCTTGAGTCGGGTGTCAAGTAGTTTTGTTTCGGCTCATTAAAATTTGAGTCAAGTCTATTCAATTCTAGTGATGACTGAACTTTACTCGAATCTAACACTCATTTTGTCCCTACCTGTACTGATCCAGCTACCTTAACAGGCCTTACTGGCAGCCATTTTCTAATAATTGAGGTTGTTGAAGATGCTCGTAAGCTTGTATTACATGACAATTGGGTGGCACTTCATTAAAACAAGGTCGTACACCAGGTACAAATACATAGGATTCTCTGACATTATTGAATTGAAACAGGTCGATATTATATTCATGTCTATTTTTGGTGTTAAAAACAATGTAATGTGGATATGCAAGATTCATCGGTGATCCTATATTTAACCCCTAGCAACCGGCTGAAATTCATGGGAGCCACAAGTGGTTCTGATGCACCAAACAGAGTCAAAGCCGCCAACTCTGATGCCCTTTGCGTTGGATGGAACCGGTCCCAAAACAAGTACTCGTCGGGGTTCAAGCAAAAGCTTGCCATCTGATTGCAGTCATAAGTTCCATTCCCGCAGCAAGCTGCTGCAATGTTCTTGAAACCTGAATAAAAACATGTTCATTGGATTGTCAAAATGATTATTTGTTCGTGTCGGGTAATAAGTAAATGCTTACCGAAGGCCAACATGTCTCCCATGAAGAAACTGGTCATCAGAAACGTATTCGCCATCGAATACTTCATGTCTTGGACTTGGGAGCTGAAGTTGTCTAATACGATCATCATGCTTAAGGAGAACTCTAGTGCAAGCTCTTGAGCCGGTTCGAAACAGCTATTGATACCAGTGAAGACGGCTCGAGCGAATGGGGTGCACCCGATTGGCGAACGGTTAAAACTGCGAACGTTTGTGCTCCGAGATCGTATAGAGTCTGTGACATATGTGGAAACATGTATAAAAGACGCACCATAGTTCAAGGCTTCAAGTGAACCAACTGAAAGAAGGGGAAATCATGGTCGAACCTTTATATGATACGCGTATGTGGATATCAGAGTGGCGTTGAACTCCAGTACCGACATTGGCGGCGTGGGGTTAAGCAGATATTCGAGGATGTCGTTGCTTCCGATGCTGATAAGAAAGAATGCTTTCGAAAGAATCATATCGGTTGCTTCTTCACTGCCTGTCATGTTGGTGATGTTTGAACTAATGGCTGAGAACTGTTTGATCTGATCCTCCAAGGAAATCGCCCTTTTCTGCAGATGTAATTATGTAATATGTAATTTAAGCCTTGAAGTTTATTTGAAGTTCACAGAACTAAAAAGATGAAAAGTCACGTACTACTTGTCCAGTATAGTTCAAAATACTGGATCCTCCAGAGGCATAGTTGGCACCCTGCACTATTTTCTCCTGGAAAGTTGATGGAGCGTTGACAAGGTATAGAAATGGCGGCGGACTCTTCGTTAACCTGAGAAGAATAGCTAAACAAATTGATCAAAGGAGTCGTTAATACTTGTCATGATCACTAGCAAAGTGAAAAGCTAATGGCGGATTCCTACCTATCTGATCCGCAGTGTTAAGGCCGTTGCTGAACCTCCCCGTTGGCCTCGAGTGAGGGAAATCAATACCATTGAAGTAGAAATCTGCCCTGGCCAGGCACCCAGGAATGAAGTCGTTAGTACCGACATCAAGGGTCGAGTCCCCGAATATGTAGACGGCTGGTGGTGCTGCCAGTGCCGCTGCCGCCTCAGCCGGAGGAACAACGAAGTTACTGCAATCGACGCAAAAACACAAAGGAAACATGAAGCATACCTCTTCGCCATGCGACAGTGGCTATTTGACGCATAATCAAACTTGTGATTTGGAGTATTTATACATGCAGAATCAAACTAAAAGTTACAACCTGCAGGATGTGAAGACAGTGATTATGCAGGCGGAATATCCTGTGTAAAAGGATCCACAACAAGCACGAAACAGAATAACTCCAAATTGAATCTTGATGTCAAGGAAAAAAACAAGAAAAATATAAGCAAAGGAATCAATCATATGAGTAATTTTCGCCATGAATGATGTTTGGGAGACGATGATGATTGGTGAAAAAACTTATGTGGCGTGGCGACATGTGTAAGCTCGCAGCAGCTCCATTAGGCGGCTTAGTCCGACGTTAAACCACAATGTTGAAGGCGTGTCTTTAGTGGAAGTCATTTTCATCCTGCTCATGCATGCTCCAAAAAAGCACGTAAGTTTGTTTGCTTTTTCCAATCACATGAAGCTTAAGACACTAACAAAAACCAATTTGACGACAAATCAAATCTAAAACAAGGTCGCTTATAGTTCCTTTCGGCCCTTAACATATGCGACAGACTGCAAGTTTAATAATTGGTTATTTGCATAACCTTATAAGCTAATTTGATTCAAAAAGTTGTTTTAAATAAAATTTGAATCATGAAATAAGAATCGTCAGATACAAATTTTTGAATCATCAAAGATTCACCTACAGTGAATATTAGAATAAACTACACGTTTAGTATCCTAACTATTTTTGTTCTATTTTGGTCACCCAAATTCTTTGCACCAAATCCATCATATCCGCAATTGTCGTACCATTATTTTTACACTTCTTTTCCTCCCCCTTGTTCTTCAATTAATTGTACCTGGCGACACGTACGGGCTTCACAAAATATAAAACCAAAATTTGAACATGATTATTGGCTGTTAATGCATGGTCGTGGTCCATATGGTCGGATAATAAGACAAAAGCATACTCATTTTCCCATTGAAGGTACATAGCATTAGCATGGATGACATAGAAGACAAATTACGTGTTTCCCTTGCAGCCATTTTACACAGAAGCCTTTCATATGAACCTCTAGATTTCATCTACCCGTACTGGATGAGCACAAGCATGAGGCAGTATCCATAATACAGTCTTAACCCTTAAAAAGATTAGCACACATAGCCGAAAACAGCATAAGAGGCTTCTCATGTGCTAATTCTTGAATGCATTTGCAGTAACAGAAATTACGATGCCACAAGCCAATTTTTCCATATAATGTAGTGGCTCATTTTATCGATCAAATAGGGGTGTCAAAATTGCAACAAATAAGAACTACAAACCAGAGAGACTGATATTCGAGGGCACACTAGTTAGACGGCTAGCCCTTGTTCTCTAGCTTTCTTCAACCACTTGAGCGTAACCTCCAATGTTGAGTAAGCAGCAACATCATTTAGACTCTTACTCTCAACAGCATAGTCAAACACATCATATGCCTCTGCAACCCTACCCTCCCGACAGAGCGCTCTCACAAGAGTAGCATAAGAAGCAGTCTCAAGCTTCATACCAGCCGACTTCATTGCCCCGTATAACTCCATTCCTTTCTCCATCAATCTACATTTGCACAATCCATGAAGCAGTGTATTATAAGTGCATGAATTTGGAGTACAGCCCTTTCTTTCCATCTCCTTCAACAGAACAACAGCACCCAATGCATTCCCTTCTCTACACATTCCATTCATCAGAGACGTGTAAGTAACAGCATCAGGTAAATGCCCCGATTCGACCAAAATATCTAAATACTTCCTAGCTTCTTTACTCTCCCGGATTTCGATAACCCGAAAATCAAAGTATTATAAGTCACAAGATCAGGCTCGACACCTTCCTCTTTCATTTTCTTATAAACCTCTATCGCTTCACTCCCTTTACTCAACATACAATACCCTTTCATAATGGTGTTATAAACAAAACAATCTGGCTTAAACCCTGACTCATTAAGCACACCAACCAATCTCATTGCCTCACGCAAATTCTTCGAATTACAAACATTATCAATCAATATGGTATAAGTAACAAGATCAGGCTTTATATCAAACGATCTCTTCATATCATCAATAAAACCGTAAACCGTGCTCAAAGTTCTACACTTGCATAAATTCTTAACAAGAAAGTTGAACGTATAGGTATCAGGCGGAAACTGCTTTAAAGAAAGTTCTTTTACCAATTCGACCGCATGGTCGATGCGCCCTACTTCGCAAAGAGACCGAATAGCGATATCGGTTGTGACCTGATTGGGTTTGAGCCCATTATTGACCATCATGTTAACTATCTGGTTAGCGGCGGAGAGGAGGAATCAGGTGTTTTGCAAGATTGGGAGAGCAAGATGTGGTAAGTTGATCGGTCGGGAGAGAACAATGGTTGGGTTTTGACCATGTGATGAAGAAGGGAGATGGAGTCATGGAGGGTGGAGATTGAGGCATAGGATTGCAAGAGGGGTTGTGGAAACGAAGATCGATGGAGGACTTGGTTGTGGCAACGATGTAGTTGAAAACCTTCTTGGCGGATGAAAGGTCGGGAGATTTGAATAAGGTTTTGGCTTTGCCGGATGCTGAGGAAGCTTGGGGTTTCCTAGAATGTTGGGGCGGTTTTTTCTTGGTGATTTTCTCGGGAATATGATTTGGGGTTGGGATTTCTAAAGGGAGCTTTCTAGTGAGGGAACTCGAGATCGCTGGACGAAAGGAAGGCGGGACTTTCCCCATTTTTTCTTCTTTAGTGGGATTTGGTGAGTTAGGGTTTTGCAAAGGAAGTGTAGAAAGGTGGGAGGAGAATGTGAATATGAAATGCTATTTATAAGGGCCCAATTTCAGGCGTTTTTACCCAAGAATCACACAAACAATCAAATAATTATGTCACTTATATTTTGTTTAAATATTACCGATTTAGCACTCCTTCTAATAGAGTAATAATAAAGTGTATTTCTAAATATGTACCTTCTTGTGGTTCTATTCGAACTGACATCATAATGAAAAAACGTGGATCGGGGAATTTGACACATGGCGGAAGGCATAAATAATGATTCGTGCATTCCATTAAATTACCACCTACCCTTTAATACCGTCCAACTGCCCGTCCCCATCCCCTCGCTCGTATAAATATCTTCCCATACAACACTCAAACCACACCAAAAAAATTTATAATCTCCCTTATTAATTCTTGTAGCAAGCTTTAAGTAAGTTTTGATGTCGTTTTTAGAAGCTATAATTTTTTTATTATATTATAATCATTTAATAGTTTATTATTTAATTATTATTTTATTTACTAAATTTCTTATTACTTTTTGCAGTTATAAAATGAAATGTGAGTTGCTACGTTTAAATAAATCATATCTCGAGTCATTTTGCCCATATGGTAATAATTTTAATTTTTTATTTTAATTATTGTGAATGTTTTATTCATTTTTTATTATAAGTTTATATTTTAATTTGTATATTATTTAATTAATTAGAGGAATGATCGTATATTAGATCCATTTATTCGTAACGCTAAGTTAGAGATACCGAGTCGTGTCTGGTCGTATCTAGCTGAGGTTGGATTCGATTACATAGCTAAATATGAAGAGCACTGTAACCTTGAATTCAACCTTATTTCTGCACTAATTGAGAGATAGAGACCAGAGACACACATATTTCATCTTCCGTGCGGGAGTGCACTATTACGTTGGATGATTGTTGAAACATTTTTGATATTTCGATATAACAAATTAAGTTAAATGGATTTTAAGATTTTCCAAATGATTTTCTAAGTATATTCGATATAACTATTCGAATATCAAAACATTACTCCAAATATTTCAAAAATCATTTTTAATCCTTACTTAAGTGTAAAATTAAGTTTTAATCATAAAAAAATTTCAAAATAATCTTACAAAGTATTTCGAACCAATTCAAAGCCAAAAATTACATATTGCTCAGAGGGAACCGATTCCCCCCCATAGGAGGAACAGATTCCCCCTAAATGGTTTTGGCCCCGAGATTTCCAGAATGCTCGGAGGGAACCGATTCCCCCCATAGGAGGAACCGATTCCCCCCTAAACAGTTTTGCTCCGAGAATTCCAGTATGCTCGGAGGGAACCGATCCCCCCCAAGGGGGTACCGATTCCCCCCTTGTACAACGGTCGAAATATTTGAATTTTACACTTAGGAACCGATTCCCTTCAAGGGGGAACCGATTCCCCCACGCTCCAAGCTGTTTTATTAAATGTTTTCACACTAAAACAGCTATAATATCTTTTCTAATCATCCCCAACGTTCAGAAGTGATCCAAGGTGTATTTAAGCAAGCTTAGAAGCCATTGATCAACAACAAGAAACATCAAGCAACTAGAATCAAGAGAGAATCAAAGAGAAATCATCAAACCTCAAGTTTCAGCATTTCAAGCCTATTTTCATTCAATATTCATTTTGCTTTCAAGAACACTTTTTGTGCTCAATTGTATTCATCTTTGAGTGTTCTTTTCTTTGTTCTAGAATTGTGCAAACATCTTACCTTGTGAGGTTTTCTTGTAAGTTTGCAAATTTGTAATCTTCTCTTTGGGAAAAAGAGTGTTCTCAAGAGTTGGGGTATACTCTTGAGGGAATTGTAAGGTTATCTCTTTGGCCTCAAAAGAAAGAACAAATTAGTGAATTTGTTGGAAAATCCTTAGTGTGGATAGCTAAGGTAGTGGACGTAGACTTTATTTGAGAAAGTCGAACCACTTTAAATCGCTGTGCAATTACTTTCAATTTTCTGCAAAAGCTTCCACAAAAATTTTAATTGCCAATTCACCCCCCTCTTGGCCGATTTCGTCAATCGATTAACTCAACAATTGACATCAGAGCCTAACTCATTTGAAGGTTTTATCGCCTCTTGAGTCGATTCGGGAAGAGTTATATCGATTATTAAAGTCACCAATGGCCTCCGCTTCAAACTTCGACTCCGGTCTCGATTCGATGCCCGTCAACAAGCCTCCTTTCTTCAATGGAGCTAACTATGCCTATTGGAAAAATAGAATGATGTACTTCATTCAAGCAAGTGACATGGGAGAATGGAATGCTGTAGAAGAAGGATACATCAAACCTCTCACTCATCCAAGGTTGTGGAGTGAAGGAGAGACAAGAATGTTCCAGCTCAACTCCAAAGCCATCCATATTATATTTGTGCTCTTGGACCAGATGAATACGGAAGAGTTTCATCGTGTACAACCGCCAAAGAAATATGGGACAAACTTCAAGTCACACATGAAGGTACAGATGAGGTAAAGAAATCAAAAATTAGTATTCTAACGCATAGCTATGAAAATTTCAGGATGAAACCAAATGAAGACATCAAAGCTATGACGGATAGATTTTCAACAATTGTCAATGGTCTCAAATCATATGGAGAGATCATCTCAAATGAAAAGCTTGTGAGGAAGTTAGTCTACTCCCTCCCAAAATCATGGCAATCAAAGAAGACGGCAATCATCGAGTCTAAGGACATATCGTCCTTAACTCTTGAAGAACTTATCGGTTCACTCCTCACTCATGAGATGATGCTTGAAGATGAGGTGGACCTTGATAAAGTTGAAGAGACACCAAAGGAAAAGGAGAAGAAGAAAAATATTGGAGTTGCTCTCAAATCCACAAAAGATGAGAGTGATTCTAATAATGATGATGATGACGAGGAAATGGCATTGTTTGCCAAACGGTTCAGAAAAATGATGAGAACTTACCAAGGAAAATTCAAACGAAACGAAGGCCTCAAAAATGAACCAAAAGAGAAGGACCCAATCATATGCTATGAATGCAAAAAGCCGGGGCATGTCAAATATGATTGCCCATAATTGAAGAAAAAGGGTCAATCAAAGAATAAGCACAAGGCTCATGTGGCTACATGGAGCGATGAAGAAATTTCCGATGAAGAGGAACAAGAAGTAGCAAACTTGTGCTTGATGGCATTCGGGGAAGATTCTAAGGTAACCTCTAACTCATCCGATTTTGATGATTTATCTTATGATGAGTTATTTGAGGAGTACAATGGGTTGGCTTCGGATTATGAGAAATTGTTTTTAAAATATAAAAATGATGTTTCAAAATTGAAAAATGAAAACAAACTCATATCCAAAACCAACAACGATCTTGAAAGTAAAATCAAAGATTTGCAAATCAAACTAGAAGAGTTTGAAAAGAAAAATTTAGATTTGCAAAATTTACTTTCAAAGATCAATGATGATCATCAAAAGAAAATTGATGATCTTAAAACTTCTTTTGATAAAGTTGGAACAAAACATTTTGAAAGAGGTGGAAATTCAAAATCCAACTTTGTTAGAAAAAGTTTTAGAAACTACAATCATAGAGGTCCCCAAAGAACCTCTAATGGAAAAATCATTAGAAGTATGTGGGTTCCTAAAGAACTCATTACTACTAAAGATAAAAATATCCTACACAAATGGATACCTAAGGGGACTAGGATTTTGGAAACTAATGAATATGGACCCAAAAGAATTTGGGTACCAAAAATCAAAAATTAATCTATGTTTGTAGGGAAAGGAGCATTGCTACAAGGCACGGGAAACAAATTCAAACTCATGGTACCTTGATAGTGGATGCTCAAGACATATGACCGGAGACAAAAACCGGTTCATTGAGCTTAACGCCAAAAATGGAGGAGAAGTGACTTTTGGAGACAATTCAAAAGGTCACATTGAAGGTATTGGTACAATAGGTAATACCTCTTCCATACAAATTAAGAATGTTTTATATGTGAATGGATTAAAGCATAATCTTTTGAGTATTAGTCAATTATGCGATAAAGGATTCAATGTCTTATTTGAAATTAATGGTTGTAAAGTTATTGACATTGCATCTAATCAGATTATGCTTATTGGTCATAGAATAGGAAACATTTACATGGTGCATTTAGATTCTATTGATATGACTAATTTATGCCTAGTTGCTAAGGATGAGCATGATAGTTGGTTATGGCATAGGAGACTAGGTCATGCTAGTATGAGTGTTTTGCAATGGTTAATTCAAGGAGACTTAGTAAGAGGGTTGCCTAAGCTTAAATTTGATAATGATAAAATCTGTGATGCTTGTGCTAAAGGAAAACAAAAACGAGTTTCTTTTAAATCTATTAATGATGTATCAACTAGTAGAGTATTACAATTGATCCATTTAGATCTTTTTGGGCCAACTAGAACTACTAGCTTGGGAGGAAAACAATATGCTTTTGTCTTGGTAGATGACTATTCTAGATACACTTGGGTTCTATTCTTAAGTACTAAATATGAAGCATTAGAAAATTTCATCACATTTTCAAAATAATCCAAAATGAAAAAGGTTACTATATCACTAGTGTTAGAAGTGATCATGGAACTGAATTTGAAAATCTTGGATTCATTGAGTTTTGTAATTCTAATGGTATTAGCCATAATTTTTCAGCACCTAGAACCCCTCAACAAAATGGAGTTGTTGAGAGGAAAAATCGAACTTTAGAAGAAATGGCTAGAACCATGCTTTGTGAAAATAATTTGCCAAAATATTTTTGGGCGGAAGCCACAAATACCGCTTGTTATGTTGTAAATCGAGTAATGATTAGGCCAATTTTAAAGAAAACTCCATATGAAATTCTCAAAAATAAAAAGCCTAACATTAGCTATTTTCATCCTTTTGGATGTAAATGTTTTGTTTTAAACAACGGTAAAGAAAATCTTGGCAAATTTGATGCTAAAAGTGATGAAGGAATTTTTCTGGTTTATTCCTTAAATTCTAAAGCTTATCGTG